ACGGTCTATCCAATGCAATACAGTTCTTCATGAAGCTGACATTCAAACAGGCAAAGCAAATACATGGAAAAACAGTACAACTAGCCTTCAAATTTCACTACAAAAGCGACCAGCTTACCCCATACTGTGATTGGTACAACAACCCGCCTAACAGATACCTATCACTAAATGAGAAAATGGTTATCGCAATTGATGGCTGGCTGATCACTAATGCCTATACATCACTTGGCAAAAACATCTGGAAACAAATTCTCGGTATACCCATGAGTGTCAGCTGCTCACCTGTATGGTGTAATATCTACTTCTTCAAATCCAAATATAAATTTATGAGAAAGATAACCAACAAGGCTAACAGGCATCTACTGCACCTGTTCCAACACGTGTTCCGCTACTTTGACGACTTCCACATCCTTAATAACCCAAGAATACAAGAATTTCTAAACCCAGAGATCACGAGTCATCGGAGTAAATACTTCCTCTACCCCCTTCACCTAATCACCCTCAATGAACAGACCACCGAAAAAATTCAATTCAACGGGTCAACCATTGGCACCAAAACCAATTTTCTAAATACTACCATTCAGATCACCAACATGCCTTCTGGACAATACAGAACACGCAAATACGATAAAAGAAAAGAATTAAATTTCCCTATCACTAGATTCATCCAAGCCCACTCCAACAGACCAATGCAGCAATCCCTCAACTTAGTAATACCCCAAATCATCACAATCATGATAGTCGAATCCGACGCCAAACATGCAGCGAATGAAATAAAACAGACCATCAACAACCTTGTACAAAACGGTTTCTCAAAACACAGGCTGTTTGGCATCACCAAAAAAGTCTTGCAGCATCCTGACCGTTACCAGCCTTTCCATTGCTGCCCACAGACCACATCACAACATTTTCAGAACTACAATGACATATAACTACCCAAGATCGCACTCTCTTTTTCCCTCTATGTGTGTGCGTAAAGGCCAAACATAAATCAAAGGCCTGGTTCGGATGGAGGACCTACCCCGGGTGGGGTAGGTCCTTAATCCTGTATTTAGAACATACATGACCTACCCCACCCGTACCTCCCTTACGAGGGAACGGGGAGGGACACACACACACACACACACACACACACACACACACAGAGACATACATGCATATCAATTTAATTATATATAGTCCATTTTTCTTCTTGCAAAATAATGGTAATTAAATTAATTAAAAACTTCAAAAATAAAAAGGTCTATCATTTTTATAAATAGAAGGAAAGACGGAGGATATAAAAACAAGCAACAGTAAAAATCCTTTTTCTAAGGAGGTATTGAATAGTAATAAACACCACTGAGCTGCAAATATAAATAAGGCCAGGATACTTAAATTAACCACCACATACACACCCACTTATGCACTGCCCATCATACAAACCTGATAGGCACAACAATGGGCCGCTGATATACGAACAATCCACCAACTACCTTGCCTAACCCAGGTAAACGGGTCACACTCCAACTACAACGTGCACTTACATCACATATAAACAAAAGGCGCATAAGGAAAGAAATAAGTTATGGGTGCATGACGCCCTGCACCAATTAAAAGACAAAAACTGCACATACTCGTACACCGGCTCTATGCCTCTGCCAAAGCACCCCTCAGCGGCCCACCGCTGATACTATACTGGGTAAACCAGGCCACACCCCACGGTCCCTGCGATTTTCGAAAACCAACACCCTACAGCTGTACACTAGACTAAAGCACGCAGCATGGCCTCCCCTAATTAAAACCCCCCAACCCCCCCCCCAAAAAAGAATTGTTTACAGCAAGATGCCGTGCATCACTGAGCTCGGCACCTAGCAATACGACAGACAAAAAGGACAAGGTATCGCGCATCTGACACGATAAACGAAACGTCACGGCCATATCAAGACAAAAACTCCACGATCCCTACTCCCTACACGGCGCTAGCACCTCCATAGCCACACCAAATCTTAGCAATAAGGACAAACCCAGAAAAAACAAAAACTCGGACACTACGAAAAAATACACAAACTTTCTGACGGAGTTACATACGAAGGATACACTCCTCTATGCCGCGTACACTTGCTCAAGCATCACAAGATCACCCCTCCCGCCTATACCCACCCGTCACCTGCTGCCAACTCGCGTCCTGACGCAACACACATCAGAACAGCAGCCATGCATTCCCGCCATGCGCTTGAGTACCACGCACACCCTCCTCCTGCCTCCAACTGGCCGCCTACACTATGTGTACTGCTCGCAACCCCACACCGCTCCCCTCTTGCGCTCTCCTCACCGCCTTGGCATATACTCCGCTACTGCACARCRCATGCCCGCGTGTGCGACCRCTACCTTGCTCACTACTTCGGTCTGYGGGGTAGCGAACCAGCGGCYACGCCTCTGCTYTAYTTGCTAYGAGCACTTTCGCACGATCTCTGCGCTTGTGCTAGGCTGAACGCAGTCTGACCCTGAGATCAGAACTGCATTRCRGTCTTYCRGCCGGAATTACACGCAAGCCACCGATTAACACGCTCAAGCTACCGAGCGATGGYRRCATCTSACCCTCCGGCAACACCGACCATGAATGCTCAGGTATGATCTCYTAACKCTTWCTTCCTTGCCTAACCCCTCTTGATGATGCCCATGCATTCCCTGCCCCCCATCCCCATACCATCCCCCGTCCTAACAGGAGCCAATACTAAGCTAACCCCTCTGATGAGCCGCTATGGGTGCTATGCGGCGAAAAGCGCGCTTTAGGGCGTGCACCCCCCCTTCGGCTTTCTAATCTTGCCGACTCTAACCCTGGTAACATACTAACTGCTCCTCACCTACCCCTGCCGACCACCCAAAACCCGCTTGGTGCATGTTGAGTTACTCTCCCGACACGGAGACTACCTAAAAGCGTGATACCTTCCTGTCACTAAAACCTTTTGTCTCTTTCCCATTCTGAATGGGATGGCCGTGTTTTTACACACC